TACCGGGCTGGCAGGAGAGCCACTGAGGAGACCAGGAAAAAATGCTGCCATTTTGGGCGGAATTCTCGGAGTCATTAAAGAATTCGGTGTATCGCTCAGCAGGAAGCTGGTCCAGGCGAGCCGTCGGGAACGAACAAGAATTTGGTCGCAGAATCGTCGTGAGCGGTTCGGTTAGATCATACTCCACAGCTGCCAAGTGAAACTCGACTAACTGTTTCTCTACCTGTAAATAAATGGCCAACTAGAATTACCAAACTGGGGACTATGTATAGTGAGCAAACAATCTTAGAAAAGTAAATGACGAACACTAGGAGAGACGCTTCCTAGTGATCAAAAGCTAAAAAAGATAGGTGTGTGGTTTGATCTAAAGTGGGGTAAAGTAAAACCGATGAACAAACATAAGAGGAAGATGAAGAAACATAGGCTCGCTCGGTTGATGGAACCTTAATACCAGATTATGCACAGACGACCGAAAACTTGATGCGAGGAATAGTGGCTGGTACCCTATTGATACGAACCATTGTGATACACCACTATTTCATATACGACATGGAAACGGATAGAAAGATAACGACATCATCGACTACGGCCTAACACGAAAATCACAGCGAGTCAGGTCAGGTCATTTACACTAGGTTTAAATCAGATTCGTACAGTCGTCGTACCGATTCCTCGATTAACAGGGTATATACCTCTAGCAAATATGTGAAAAAGGACAGTATTCCGTCAGCAACGCATCGAGGGCGATAGCTTTGGCGCAAGAGTGCCACTGATTGCATGATTGAGTCGTATCTGTCAATCCATTGATCATTCTCTGTCAATGACCATTGATTAGTTGAGTCCCATCCAGAAAGGTGGCAGTTATCGACCCGAGTGCGTTCACTGGTTAGCATTTTCACACCTCGTTGCCAGGTCTACCTCTTGGTAGTTTTTATTCAGCACAGGACTGGCCAAAAAGAGATTGCGAGGAAGACAGTCATCTAGTATGCGAAACTATGCCCTAACCAGCGTAGCCAATGAAGCATGAGAAGCTCACTCATCGTAGGAGAAGACCTTTTACCTAAAGCCATTTGGAATACCTCGATATCGCCGATCCGATGTTCCCACCCAGCCGATGCTTCAGAGACATCGATAGTCGGACACTGATAACTTTCATACATCGTCTGCAATAAAGGCTACGTTTCTGGTCCGAAAAGCAGTACAGACCGCACCACCGTAGTGTATACATTACCAGTGACTGGAAACTGTAAATAAGTGGAGGGAAGTAAGGGGACTATTGAGCCCTAGTGTTACAGAAGCCGTTAAAAACAGCGGAAGACTCCTCGTTAACATAATGTGCGAGCCATGGAATACAGGGAGTCTCACTTGAACGATCCAAGTCATCTAGGTATCCCCGAAGACACCAGAGAGAGAGAGCGAAATTAGGGTGAAATTCGTGGGTGGCGCAACTAATCGGGGTGAAGAGCTAACCAGAGAGAAAAACCAAAATAGGGTGAAATTCGTGGGTGGCGCAACTAATCGGGGTGAAGAGCTATGGCAATACGGATGTGAGCACTAGTTAAGATGCACTAATACATTAAAGGTGGCAATAACTAGTGTGAGGTTGTATGGTAGGAATTTGAGCATATTCGGAGTGGATGAGTAAAAAACTAGAAGCGAATAAAAATGAGTGGGTCGAGAAACTAACTTGAGAATTGTCAAGATCCGTCAGACGGTCACGAACTTGCAAATCAAAGTAATCCCACGATTCTAAGGAAGAAAAAAGCCAGTTTATAGAGGGGAGGCGTGGTATTTCTTATCACAGCTAACCCGATTAGAAAGACCGGTTAAGACCACTTTCGGTCAGCCTCTTCAAATGACCTCTCCAAAAATTAATATCAAAAAAAACTTTCCTATCTCCACTTCACTAGTACTGTGCTGTCAGACAAGCTGCTGGCACGGAATGAGGCACTTTACAGTTGCCATAAAAACTCGATCCTTTGGCTCACAACCAGCTCCCTAATGAAACAGAAACCATTCAGCTGTTTTGTGGCCTGATGGCGTTTATGATTCTCGAGCAAAGACATCCTGTTCAAAATAGACTGCCAAGGTAGAACAAATCAATCACAAAGGGCAGGGGATATTCCAATCAGACACTAAAACACCTGTTTAGTGGATGAAGGTCTAGAGGCATCTTATTGAAAACGTAGTGTTTGCGATCAACATGGACCCCCACAGGAAAAAACAGTGGTGCGATTGATAGAGAAGTAAAAGTCGCGAATAGATGTACCTGTATGGAAGAGAAAGGAGACATTGGGAAAGTGCCTGTATGGGAACATACCCTGCACGGACTTCTTAACACCAATCGGAGGCAAACTGACTGCTGATTCCGGATCGAACATTTGAGCGATCATGTCAAGCACAGCCTCGACATGGAACTCCATTCGTACCATTGTACTGGATTGGACTGCCTCTAGCGCTGTCACACCACTATCAGCATCGGTGTTGATTGACAAAACCAGGACGCGATCCACTGGTCGTAGACGGAGGCGGGCCTAAAACCGAGTGTTTTCAGTTACTTGATCGGAAGGTTGGTAGTATAGTGATGCCTCGGATGAAAACACTGTCGACTAGGATCGACAAAGCAAGAAATATCAAGAGCACCGAGCACGACAAACATCTCGTCTTTCTGGGACAGGACGCACAATTAAAATCGGTGCGGCATTCACACGAGTTGAGATGGAAGCTCTGATAGGGCCAGAGCGCAACTCACTGTTGTTTCAAATCTTGATAGAGACTTGGGACAGTAAAAATGGGCGAACGCGAGCAAACTGGAAGCTATCCTGTGCGACGCAAACAGATAATATGACATAGTGGAGAAGCAGATAACATTTAAAAGCAGAAAAGTTTCATTCTAAGGCCATAGTATCATGCCGTAAGACAGACCACCTCGTGTACACCACAACCGTATGCTCCGCCTCGTCCTTATTACGTGGTTCACCATATCATACACGAATATCCTCAAACCAATGAGGTCACAGATACCGGACCACAGACTGCAGGCTGCAAACGAATTGGCGCAAACGGTTGAACCAACTGATTTATCGCAATCTGTGATGCGATTCCTCAGTGCTTGAACTTTGTCTACGAATGTCTCACTAGGGGGAAACAGTGGGTTTTTGTGACTGCGTTGATTCTTTCTGTCCTCAACCACGTCGCTGCGCTTTCTATGAAACATCGCGTCTCGACTTTAAATGCAGAACGTTACTTCCAAGCATCAGGATACTGACAGACTGATGGAACGACGATGAATGGCCAGTTCGGTCCTTACTTAGCTGAACTGTTGATGATAAAAGTAGACAAAACTGCACTAGAACATATTAGTCAGTTGATACTGTGTAAAACATGCCCAAACGATGAACCCAACGCCACTCATTAAAGGCTATGTTGAAGTTTTCTAGTTCAATTCACTGAAGTGTCGGCTTAAACGTGAACTAGAAGAACACAATAGCGATCCGATCATCGGACAACCAACCACTTGGACTAGACGTAACAGAGTCTCTTCAGCTTCTATCCCACACAGCGAAAACGTTCAACATTTCAAGGTGAGACATGCCATATATGGCCTTAAATCTGCTCAGCAAATACCATGAACAGCATGTCCAGTACCATCGCTGAGTTGTCTTGAAACCGATTGGGGATAACAGTGGAAACGAATTGTTTCTCTACGTATGCCCTAAGCGCGATGAATGGACTGTGGCAACGGAACTTAAAAAAACCCAAGCTGCCGTTTCTTGGCCACTGATCACAACACCACTGAATGTGCTGTCTCCATCCAAATTTATCTGCGCCTACACCTGCAGCTGAGGTGAAAGACATCAAGAGACTTGTGACGCGAGAAAAAGGAACTCATTCTAAACTATATAGCACATATTCGGTCTAAGTGAGAGCTACTAGAGAGCAAATAATATTGCTGTTCAGCCGCTCGTGGCTAAACAGCTAAGCTTTCAACCACTGACCGAGAGGGTCAGATGAGCACTGCTAATAATTTCCAGTAAGGGTGAAACAACTGCACACTGCTTCTCTTCTTTTCAGCATGGATTGGCTTGACTGAAAAGACGAAATCTCAGTTGAAAATAGGTGGCACAAGGCCTATACCAGGATACTCGGGAGAATATAGCCCTTGGAAATCCTACTTCACTGGTCGCCAAAAACGTATTAAATTCTGGTCATACAGCTGATATTAATTCATTTTTTAGAGTGATCACAATGCGATTGTTCTTTCTCATTATTCCCACATCGCGTTTTGGTTCCTGACTATTTCCTTCGGATTCCAATCTTCGTGACACGTTACGATTGAGGACTTTTAGTAAGGGAAATTATCCATTTCAAATTATCTTCTGATATCACTGTTCAGTCGCATAATGGACCGACGCAGCAACTTTACAACCAGATCACCTTTGTGGTGCTGCATAACATACAACAGACCAACTGCACACGAAGTACCCATGAGGTTAGGACGAACTCACATCAGCAAAGAGGCACCAACGAGAGGTCTGAATCGAAAAACACACTTCAATGCTCCAGCTAGACAAGCAAAGTGTACGTGAGAATGTAGTATTATCAACTAACCTGTTTGGCTAAGCTGGTGATGGGATGGAGTTCGTGTGAGTACACACGATCTGTCCATGCGTGGGCGGGGAGGATGAGTTGATGAATGTCATTCGAATCGCCATCAAGTGTCTGGAATTGAAAGTAATATGGTGGCTCGCGGTATATGCTACAGGAGGCAAAGATTATACAATCAGTACGACAAAGGTCAACAAGAGAGTGCATATTATAGGTAGCACAAACCTGAGCTGACAGGGGGACATTTAACTGCGACCTAGATTTCGCTGTGGCACATGGTTCACTAGGTGAGTTCTGTTGGGAGGGCTCAGCGCTCGGGCATTGGGGATCGGTGGAGCTAGGCGACAGTTTCAAGCATATTTCAGAAAGTGAGTTAAGCTCTTCCTTGCGTTCATCAAAAGTGGAAGCTATGGGGTGGAAACCAACGCGGAATGTTTGATATGTATTGCCCAGTTCAGTGACAGTGGGAGCAGAAGGGCTGCATTTTCTCCGTGCAAAAAGGCTGTTCAAAATCTGCCGTGTAGCAACCGCACTGGTCAGATGTGGCCGACCGACAATTCGGATGGATATGTTTGGACCAACCTGTAATGCAGAACAAAATGAAACACACCGGGGTAAATGACATCGCGGTTCATCTCAACAGACAGGTTAGAACAATAAAGGGGTGCGCTTAAAGAAGGCGAGCTGCCTTCCAGATAATCCTGTTGAGCCAATTTCGGAAACCCTTTGCTCCACTAATGCTACGGCTATCCACAGACCATATTCGGAGTCTGGTCAAGCTAGCTCAAGACTACATCAGGATCTGGGCACAACCGATTAACTACTCAACCACAGACTACAACCAGTGTTCTCCAACGTGAAATTTTCTGATCTTCGTATGAAGGGGATATGACCACATCCGAATCGTTCACTGGGGCAAACAAACTAAACTTCTTTGTGAAAACTGAGAGTCCGAAACACATCTGTGCTGAATGAACCTGTCAGTGGGTCAGATGAACGTCCCTCCTCCCTCAGTATCAAGACGTTCTATTATCTCCAGCAAACTAACCCCTCTGTGTTCTGATGCACCTTTCCTCGGACCCTAGTCTTAAATACATACGTGTGACTCAACCAAGTAACCTTCGCCAGTTTTTCAATCCTAGTCTTTGATACCCTTAGAGTGAGTAAGCTTTATGTCCGTCCCACTTTGCCCAAAGGCGTGTTATCATAGGTATCCTCGTGCACTAAATCTACCACACTGAATCTCCAAACTCCCTCAAAGAGGCTAGCACCGCATTCTAAGATCTATGAAATACACTTTTGTGTAAAGTGGAATCTGAAGGAAATTTCGGGTTGACAGTGTGATAAGGAAGCATGTTGGCGCTCTTTTTCATAGAGGAAGTTACTCACAGTGTGCCTGGAAACTCTTCGACAGCCGATGGCCAGTTTCGCCCTTGTGATAAACGAGAGATTCAGTTGAATCTCCCGCGAAAACCAAATTGTTATACAAATGAATTAGTCGACGTTTTGGAGCTTGTTTGGAAGTCATCCAATTCATTCTTTCCGACAGAGCCGGACCTCCTCACTAATCGCTAGACTGGGCCAAATCATCCTGCATGCAATGTAAACCTGACTTGCTTTCTGGTACATCTCACCACTGCGTGCGACCTGCGGCCACGCCTGCTTACATAGACGTTTTCCTATTAAAACATATCATTAAGACTGAAAAATGCATGAGTGTTCCATTCACTTGCGTCTCTCAGTTCTCGCTCAAGATCACGGAAGTAGATTCCCGATTAAGTACAGCCGAAACTCTCCAAATCCGTACGGTTGCCTACCGAGTGCATTCTTACTAAAATTACGGGTCGATAAAAAACAGGTTTACTTGACACTGTTGTTTTTTGTGTACAAGTTTGTTGCTTGGAGTTCTTTCGAGAAAAGTACTGTAGAATAAATAGATTAGCAGCGCTTTTTTAGATTTTCGATGAGGAACACCCATCATCCAGATCGTGTTCTATCGGTTCAACACTTGAAGGCTTGGTGTTAGCCTTGGTAGTTCAAACCCTTCGCTAGAGTCGACTGGATAACGCAACCGGTTAACAAGAAATCCCTTTAGAGATAGGATACAAAACGAAAAGGATGGTGGGTCGTGAAATCAGTCAAAATTATCGTGACAAATCGTTCCGACCTGGAGCTTGGAGAATGAAAGGAAAGCCCGCCACATGAGATCTTGTGCTATTTACCCGGTCTATACTGCAACAATTCGGTTTCACCTGGTTTCCTCATCGTTCAGTCACATAGTGAGACAAAGGTTTCAACACATAAGCAACCGGTGTCACACAGACTTAGGTGGGGTGCACTGTGGAAACTTGACAAGTTTCCTAACGTCCGGTCGCGGTGAAAAGGTCCATAGCTGAGATCTTGTGAGTTCTAAGGTTTTTTTTAAAGGCCATGAACAGCCGTATGGTGTGTGAAACAGCAATGCTTTTAGGAAAGACGCCACAGAGGTAAGTGCAAATAACTTTTAACCTAACTTTGCACCATATGTTGTGCAGCCACAAGTTTACTGCCCTTATCAGACAGAATCATTTTATTACTGAGTGGACCTTTGCAGGTCCCTCCTAGCAAAATGCACATTATGAGCGATAGCTCTAGTGCATATAGCATTCTCTCTCACACAGCATTCGGCCTGTGAGAGAGTTCATTCCTGAGGAGTAATGTAAGAAATCTCACTTTGCATTTTGTTATTTGTTCTTTGAGAAGCAGCTGTACAGACATCTATTCAATAACTTTTCGTGATACTACATGATGCTGAAAACATAGCTCAAAGTGATCGAAGCTTTACATAGTAGGCAGCATAATCCAATATTTCAGACTGCACCGCACCTCTGTCCATATCTATCCAAAATCGTCCTTCGTTGTTTTTTCTTGGTGACGGACCGCAACCGACTGATACAGAGATCGATGAAGCAGTTCATGAACAGTCCTTTACCTATTTGTAATGCACTACTCATAAGGTTTCTGAAAATTCGTCGACAGCCCACGACCGGTTTCCTCCTTCGTGGGGCTCACCAGGTAGGCGCGCTCCCCGAGTTTCCACCAGCCTTATGTTCTATTTGAAACCGTGGGGCTGTCGACGTATTTTCAGCGACCTTATAAGTAGTGCACTACAAATATACATGTATCGCAATATCCCGAATATCGTAGCGACTGAAACATGAGGTGGCCTGGTGCAGCACATTCACTTGCTTGGAAACATCATAAACAGAAGATTCAGCTGGGTTCCAGGTGAGTCTCTTGCAAAACCAAATTAGTTTGCAAATGAGTGTATTTCGCTAGTTCTTTGCTTAGGTTGAAGTTCACCAAAATTGGTTGCACTGAGAATTCTGGTCAACAAGTGACAGCGTGCCTGGGTGTCGATCTGTCATAATTGCATAAATAGAACCTAAACCTTCGAGATGTGACTAAAGGTACGTGTAGGACTCACTTCATTTGAGATTGGTGGTAGTTCACAAGCCCCGAAATTGATGTACCCACGACAGGTAAACTCTTCAAGAAGACGTGGAATCCAGTACTCGCAAAGTGCGATCCGTAAAAGGCCTCTGATGAAACAGTGTTCCGCGACAAGCCGACTGGTCAAGAAACGCTAAAGCACAACAGGTTACGTGAACTTTTAGAATACGAAATTACGCGTATGAAAAGAAAATACCCGTAAAAAGCAGATAACTCACATTGGGATTGGCGAACCACAGACATAGAAGCATGTTTCTGACGGCCAGGTAGAGGGTAGGGAACCTAGAGGGAACCTAGAAAGGGGAGAGTTAAAGGCGTAAGGAAACGAAGTGTAAGGCAGAAAATTTGAGAGAGTAGGATAGTAAGTGCGGAGCCAAACAATGGCAACCAGATCTACAAGGGGCGATTATGTTATACAGAATCAAGTACGAGTGTACATGTCATGGAACCTGGAGAATTAACTGGGCTGCATGGGTAGGAGAATAAATCGGCTTGATAAGGCTGTTTTTACCAAATACCAGTCCCCAGATATCGCTGGTCGACTTAAGCTTCGAACCCAGTGCGACACAACTGTAATAATTGGAACAACCAAAGTTAACAGAATTTATGGTCCACTGTCGACTGTCCAGTAGGTCGCCTTTAAGTGTAAACAGGTCAAGGGTGCATAATGGGTCAAATGGCACGGCAACGCCCAAGACAAGCACTCTTCAGTTGTCTCTATGTCCTGTCGTACTCTAGATGTAGCTAACCATGGTAACGCCTCTGGAAAAACGCCAATGGGAAAGTACGCGTGGATCTATTACCAGTGCTCCTCGTCCATGACTATTCAACATTGAAAAGTCTCGTAAAATCTTTCATGCCCGACTGTGAAGTGTTTCCCCGTGCACAAGATACAAAAGGATCAATGTTTTACTATTCACTACGTCTTTACACATGGGCTAGTATCCTCGACGGTGAACGGCAATCTATGGATGCTTAAGATGGTTCGGTTCCTGAAACTACTTAAGGGCAAGAACTGGACTAAAACTTATATGAAGAAATGACCGAATGGAATGAAGACGTGTCCAGCACGTTACTGCAATACATTCTTTGTCCCCACTGGAATTACTAGTCACTCGAATCCGAAATGGACTCGCTAAACGCTGGACATGATGGCTTCCACATGCATAGGAAATCAAACTGTGAATTCACTACGGGACAGGGGACAAGGCAGAGTGCTAAGAGCTCATTTCAGTGTGGCGTTCGCGAACTAGCAAGTGGAAAAGTGACAAAATGAGGCGAAACTCCACTTATTCGAGCAACAAGAAGGGAAATCGATGGCTCTGAGTCATCATCATCATCACTGTCAGCTGTAATAACCGCGTACTCGTCGTATAGTGGTTGTAGCTGCCGCAGTTTCGTTCACCGATGTTTTTTTTTGGGGGGGGGATAGGTACAGTGGGCTGTCAAGTGAGGAGGGGTTGGAAAAGGAGCTATGCATTGAAGGCAATGGCTTGGATGCACGAGCGCCATTGAGGACGCGACTGGGCCATATCTGACAATGTCTCTAGCCATTGATGTGGCCCGTCTCGGGGTCCCCATCCAGGAGGACGGCAATTACCAGCGCAGCTGAGTTTGCTGGTAATGACTTTCACACTTCGCTGCCAAGTCATTGTTTGACCGCCTCTGGCCCTCTTCCATCCTTCACGTGGTTGTGCGAAAAGAGCCCTTCGAGGAAGTCGGTCGACTGGCATACGCAACCTGTGGCCAAGCCAGCGCAACCTATGCAATGTGATCAGTTCATCTATCGAGGGTGAGTTATTTCTCCCGAATACCATTCGACGTACTTCAGAATTGCTGATCCGGTGTTCCCACCAGCTTCATGCAATGCTCCGAAGACATCGATGGTCAAACACTGAAAGTCTTTTGACGTCCTCCGCGCGCAGCGGCCAGGTTTCTGATCCATATAGTAATATGGAGTGCACCGCAGCATTGTAAACTCGACCCTTGACAGAAAAGCTGATGTCACGCCTACGCCACAGGTGACGTTGGTTCGCAAAAGCTGCTTTGGCCTTCCCAATCCGGATGGAAATTTCATCTTTCGTGAGACCACCGGGACTGGTGCAGCTGCCCAGGTAACCAAATTTATCTACTACCTCAATCGGTTCATCCGCAAACACGAGGATAGGGTTCGAGCCCACCCAATCTTGCAGTAGCACTTTACACTTTGCAGGTGTGAAGCGCATGCCGAACTGCGAGGCAGAATTATTTAGATTATTTAATATTGTTTGCATTACAACGGGATCAGATCCCAGAAGAGC